TGTGGTGGTGGTGTGTCGTGGGGGGGGGGTGAGGAAAGGGTGACCTCACTTTCTGAACAGCAAAGTTTGAGTGGGAGGGTCTCGACACGAAAGGTAAAAAAGAGAATGATGTGAACATGTGAAGGAAGCCAGAGCACCGAGCAGAGCGTCAGTCTGTATCCTGACAGAGGGAGATAAGGTGGCTGGGGAGCCAGCGGTGCTTTCCTGGAATACAATCTCTGTTTGACACTCTCTGCTTAAGCACTGCCCATCTGTATGTTATTGAGCTGGAGCCTCTGGGGAAAAAGAGGAGCCACAGGCACAGAGTGAACGAGGGAGGCAGCAACAGCGCTTTTCTTCCCTTCTTTTCCTTTTTTTTTTCTTCCTCTTTTTTTTTTCTCCTTTAAATAAGGATCTGGTTAGATTGCCTTGAAGTGCCACATCTGGAAACTGAACGCTGAAAGAAAGTTAAAATAACTGAGGCACCACTAAGCCAAGGGGGGCTGATTGCAGAAGAGGGTAAACAATTACTGAGACGCTAGAAGACCACTGCTGGATGTAAGGGGAGGAAATGGCTTTGATCTCCGCCTGGCCCCTCGTTTCTCCTATATTATTCCTTTTGAGATGCTTCTCCTCCAGCACAGCCTCGAGTGAGGGAGGCGTTTTTCAGTTTGACATTGAAGGTAGCTCAGCGGTCAGCGCGCAAGAAGCCACTGTTATCAGAGGGCAGCAGCAGGCAGTAGCTACTGGAAGTTGGGTGCCTTTTGCTGAGGTACAGTAACTCCCTTCTCTCTCTAGTGTCTGCGCTTTTCTGCTTTCATCTGTCTGTGTTGAAGCTCCCATCTGGTTAATGTTAGCTTAATCATTCGATCCTTAAAGTGATAACGGAGGATTTTTTTGCGGGGGGTCTGAGATGTTGCATTTCGGGACTGGAGAGATACAGTTCAGACTTCAAAATGTACACATGCCCTGCCTGCTGTGAGCAGACAGCTGCTGTACTTTGCAGTGAGGCTGGCTTAGCACGTCTCCCAACTTTCCTGCCAACATAACTAAACAGGCCTGTCCAAACAGAGCTATTTTACAAGGGTTAATTGTCACAACACTTTTCTGCTTGCCTTGTTGTAGTTCTTGGAATTGTAATTCATTAAACTTCCAGAAAGACTCTGTCTTTTGGTGGCAAACACTGTACTGTGGAAGTTTGTGCTTTTGCCTCTGAATGCCACAATCTGAAGTTTTGCGATGAGAGTGGGGATAATAAATCAGATGTGTGTGGGGAACTGCCTGCAGAGAAAACACCTGCAGAGATTTTAAGACTTCCAAAAAGTGTGAGATTGGGATTAGTGACAAATGAAATTAGAGAGATCTGAGAAGCAATTTCACAGTGGAATATTTTCCTGCAACGCCTGTGTTTTGGGATTGGTCAATACTCCTCATTCTAGCAAGGCTGCATTGGGAATGGACTACAAAAATACAGCTTGAGAAAACAATAAATTACTCCAGCATACACTGGGAGGGGGGGAAAGTAATGTCTCATGCGTGGGAGACATGAAGTAGGAGGCAAATTGAGTTACATAAGGTCA